AACTCCACAAGATTTATAGCATTTGCAGGAAGCAAACTGGTAGGTGCATTTCTTAAATATTCTTTGTTGCAATAGTATCATTGCTTACAAACTGCAGAGATTACAAACTAGATGAGAAGTTGTCTAACTTTTAGCAGATAGTTCAACATTTCCTAGTGATTAAAAAAGACAAATTCAGAATTATGAAGATGAAGAAATAAAAAGACTCTGTTCTGCTATTTAAGAAGTCAAGATTAAAGAGGCAAGACTAATAACTGTAGAGATATAATATAGTTTGTACAGTACTTTGAATAGGAAAGATTCTGATCAATATGAACTATCTGGTTGAAAAAGATAGGTATGTGAGACTGACTAACACAAACATTTGGCATAAAGATATTTCATGTCTTCACTAACTTAGATTGAATTCCTAAAAAAAAACTGTAACATTTTAATTTTTGAAATATTCAAATTAAGAATACATTAGCATACTTGATATTGTCTACTACCAACAAAGTTGGTCTTAATCCAGATTTAAAAAAAAAAAGCAAAAGCCATCAGAGGTGATATAATGGCTCTAACCTATTTCAGTAAACAATTACATAAAACATTGTTTTGATAATTTTATCTCTATGCCTCTTCGTAATTGTATCTGCAGGAATAAAGATCACAAAAGGAAAACCATTCTTTAGCCAAGTTAAATCTTTATGCCGTCTTCTGTAAGAACCAGATGCAGTGGTGGTTATCCGAACTACTTCAAACCAAAGTTAAACAAATTAATGGACAAAGGTTACCATAAAGCTGTGAGATGGATTTTTGGATATTCAGTTAGTCAACTCTAAGAGAGCTGAAAGTTGTGCTCTTCATTTGTGATCGATGTCTGAGTAGAGCACACTTCTACCGTGGTAATATCAAGCTCTAGGATTTCCACAGGTTACCTGGCTAAAACTTTTTCATTTTCTCTTAGGTACAAATTGGCTTCTGAGAGAACTTTGTCCTATCAGTTTTAGTAAAACTTTTCATCAATGCCAAAATAAGTTGCATAATATTGCAAGTTCCATTCTCTTTTCTTTCTATGGGTCTACTGCTTGCCAGATTTGGGGCATTTTTGCTGTAAAGTGTACAATACCTTATCAGATATTGGGAGGTGTTTCATACCAGATCAACCGTGTGTGGAGAAAGAAAAAAGATACCTTATGGATGGTTCTGCTTTAATATCTGTGATAAACTGCAAATAATTACTCAACTGGTCTCCTTCCAGTTTTATATTCCTAACTGTTAGTGGAGGAAACCTAGAAGTTCATCTACAAAAAAATTCCTGCAGTACTACTGAAGAATGTAATTTCTGCAGTATTAGGATGGAATGTGAAATACAACGATCAGTCCTTTTAACTAGTTTAGACAAAGAACAAACGTTTTCATGGTGGTTGAATCAATACTAGCATAAACTAACGCTCTAACAGTAGTGAAAATTTTAAATTGGTATAATTAATTTAAAAACAAAATTAAGAAACACTTTTAATATCCCACCTGATTCTAATTTTAGAAAGGAGTTGTATAAGCAATTAAAACTATTTTCCTGTAGTGAGCTTAAAGGGAAATTATGCGTTGTTTCTTTTTTTCTAAGAAATTTTGAAAAAACAGAAGACCCAGTAATGAGAACATTTTTTCCATTCACAGCGTATCCATTTGGACATCAGAGTTGGAGAACATTTTTTGGATGAATCTGTTATTCAAGCCAAAGACAAAGTGAATGAAGTTAACCTTAGAGTAGAACATCTAATTGAGCAAATTCATCACATATCCAAAGAACAAAACTATGAAAGAGTACGTATGCTCCCTAATGGAAATATTAAAAATATTGTACATAGGTTTATTGATTCATAAACTATTATGAGGTTTATTATTTAATTTCAGTGTTATTTTTAAGTTACTCATAAAAATCTATGGGTATTTAACCAATACAACCTACATTACCTTGCAAAATATTTTTAAGCTGTAACATAAAAACTAATTAATTGCTGTGAACTCATGCTTATAGCAACAGGTGTTATTTTAAAGCAGGAATTTCCAAATATAACTTTCTTGGTCAGAGTCAGTAACAGCAGCTGAGCAGGTGGCAGGTACTGTTGCTGGTGATGTTGCCAGCTGTTGTTTCCATGCTGGTCTTTGTGCATAAACTTTATTGGAGTGGGTAAGGAGTGTAAATTTATGTATTTCCATGCAGTTAGAAATAAAGCCTTCCTTCAAACAAGTGTACATCCATTGTCTTCACTTTTCTATACGTATGCAGGCAGTCAGACTGTGTTTGAAATATAGCAACTACTTATCCAAAAAAAAGAAATTTGGCTGCAAAAAGGTTCTTGACTGTAATATGAAAGTGAATGTAAAACCTAAAAAGTCTCAGGCTTCTAGTAATGGAACATATTTAACACAATATATATTTTGCGAACAAGGGAAAGCTCTGTCTGCCTTTCTCCTTCAGGACACAGTGTGTCTGCTTCCTGGTTTTGATTTGTAAATATATCTACCTCCTGGATAAGAACAAACTTTCACTTTTATCAATGTGAAAAAAGTGTTTGTTCACTAGCATGCTGAAGAGAGATGCCTGTTTAGTTACTCAGATAGAAGCGTGAAACATACAGATGCCAAAAAGTAATAATTACGCTTTTCCTTTTTTCTTCAGGAGCGTGAAGAAAAATTTCGGAAGACAAGTGAAGAAACCAACAGCAATATTTTGTGGTGGGCTATTGTACAAACAGCAATCCTCATCTCCATTGGAATCTGGCAAATCAAATCTCTCAGAGATTTCTTTATATCTAAGAAGCTTGTCTAAGTCTTATGAAGTAAATGCGCCAGTTTGAAAATTGCGCACCATATAACACCTAACATCCAAAGAAACCCCTGTATCTATGAGAAAATTGGTTGTACATAACTCTCAAGCTTCTCTCATCTTCTACTCTGGTTCTTACTCTAACTCTGGTTTCTCTATGTCACAGCCTCTGGCATTCCCTTACATTTTACTCCTTGAATTCCATCTTCCACCCCCCCCTCCCAGATGTAAAGATAAATCTAAAATTGGTACAAAGTAGAGACAAAAAAGCAATGCTCTACATACCAAATAAATCAAAATAAAATCTCATAAAGCTACTCACTGAGGTTTGTCCTGTATATAAAAATTCTGAGACTTTAGAATTGTCCACTTGAAATGCCCAGTAAACAAGTGTTATTAAATTCACTTTTATAGAGTACTCACTTACAACATGTCTTGTAATAATATCTTTGGCGGTGGGAAAGGAGGAGAGATGTGTTTATATGAAGTCCAAGAAGAAAGTTTAATAAAGGGTTGCTACAAGGTTGTGCTTCAGACTTTAGCTGGTATTTAGTGTAAGGTTCCTAACTACATGCCAATGACAAACTTATCTCACTTGAAATACACTTCAGCTTTTAAATCAAAAGGGCAGGCACCATGTCAGAATTTATAAAGGAGCTGATAATGTTCCTTAGTATTAATTAGGTCTATACTCAAACCAGCACTGAGACTTGGAGCCTGGCTATAGCGAGAGAGTGTTTCATTCTTTATCTATCATAATAATAATAAAATATCTTTGCTTTGATTAAATGTTTTCAGTCTCTGACAAGATTTTAAATTAACTCTATAAAGCAGAATCTGAATCATAGCTCTTTTGAGAGGCACTTTGAGGGCAGTGGTCTTTACGAAGTTAAAAGCCTCCACATATCCAGCCGGTGGCTCTGCCACAGTCACTGCCACACCCCGCACAGCCGGCAGGTCTGCGGGCGAGCTTCCCCTTGAAATTGTCATCAAGGGAAATTAGCAAGCCCTGGATTTATTTTTTTTTTTAATGTAAAAAAAAAAAAGAAAAGAAAACCTCATTGTTCGGCACTTTCTTTCCGCACCGAAACAAGCAACAACAAACCTGTGACAGAAAATTAATAACCTTCCCAGATTCCTGTATTTAGAAGAGTGAAAAGCCACTACGGTCCTTCACACAGCTGCTGCCGCGATGGCAGCCCTGCTGCACCTGCCTCTGTGAGGAGAGCAGGCGAAGCACCGACCCAGGCCTCCAGTGGCTGCTCCAGTTCGTGTGGAGAAGGGAAGGGAAGGGAAAATCTCTCGGAGGATCCCCTGCCTGGGTACCCTCTCCGGTTTGGCAGTGAGAGGCCGGAAAATCCCCCTTTGTGGGGTGTGAGGCTCGAACTCCGCTCCCTCAGGCCCCCCTGGGCGGG